TCAGCCTAGTTATAATCCTGTTGGGCTGGACTGAGACTCGAGCCTGCTGTTTCTTCTTATTTCAGTCCATGACTTTAGCAGATCCAAGACTACTTTTGATCCAACAAAAAAATTACTTGGCTTATTATATCTTCTTCTTTTTACTATTAAAACTATCTTTTTCTTTTTTCTTTTTTCTAAGATTACTTTTTTTTTCCCCTTAAAGACTACTTTTAATAGAACTAATATATTAGAATTTAATTTCGTAACCTTCTATTACAAGAGATTCTTAAGACTGTCTTGTTAATGAAATCCTTCTCTTTTCTCCATCCTCCTAAAAGATTAGAAAAAACAAATGCACTAGCAGATCTAAGGGACTGATTTAATGATCGAAAATGTTTATTTTCTTCTTCAATTTTTTTGAATTTGAATCTTAAGAATAATATCTAAGAAAATTTATTAAATTTTTCTGAATCTATATCAAATTAATACGCAGTACACTAAATTGATGTGAAAATATGCTTAATGTGGAGCATACCAAACCGATATCTAAACATTTATCCAAATGATTACACTAGAAAAAAAAATAGAGACAAGCAAGCAGATTTAGAGTGTCTGGTAGAAGGGGTGGGAAGAAGAATTTATGAAAAGTAAAGAATTGAGAGTTCATTTTATTTGACAATAAGCATAAAAACCAGAAAAGAATTAGAATTTTGAATTCTCACAATTATGACTTTAATTTACTCTCTCTCTCTCTCTCTCTCTCTCTCTTTTTGTCTTTTATAATTTTGATTACTCTGGTCGATTTTCATCCTTCCTTTTTTTTTTTTTCAATAGTCAAGTAATTTAGATGGATAATAACCTATACATCACTTTACCATATTCCTCTTCTTCCTTATTCATAAACACTTTCTTAATGTCTCAACGAAAGTTGATTTTCAAGTTAAATCATTTTTTCATGTGTTTTTTTTTAATTAGGATTGTTTTAAATCTTTATTCTCAAAATGAGGTTGGTTTAAACTTATTTTTCAATCTAGGGAATTATATGTCGTAAGCTCCAACTCAACAACTTTTATAGTTTTTTATCTTAATATATTAATAAAACTCTAATTAAAACCAAAATCCTATTTCACATCCAATTAAAATAATACAAGTATTGAACATTTTTTTATTGTTCTTCATTGTGTTATGGTAGTTTGAGTAACACTCTTAAATACATTCAATTTGTTTACAATTGTAACTCGTTTTCAATCAGCTAAAGCATGTTCATGTGTACATTAAACATGATAGATTTCAATCACAATGTTATAGACATGGTCTCGGATGGGATGCTTGTTATCATGCATATAAGATGCTCAATCAAAATTTTCAATGAACTTCCTATATTTGGTAAGTGTTTTAGGATTAAAGAGTCTATTATTAGGCATATAATTAGCAGAGATTGAAAAAATGTTACAAAATAAAATAAAATTCTGGTATTTATCGTAAAACCATTCTCTATAACATACTAAAACAATTTTTTTTTTATTCTTTATGATATTCGAAGTTCAAAAGTCTAGACTAATCTTTCGTTATTCTATTGAACGCACAAGATAAAGATAGTTATTCAAAAAGTTTTATACATACATAAGAACTCAAACTCGAAGCAACTTATTGAAACCACTAGAACTCATTTCACTTAAGTTAATCTTTTTGGGTTATGCTAAACCGAGTTTTACTTCTCCTTTCATTGTTTTTCTTAATGTTCTAATTCAAAGTTTAAAACATAAATTTAGCCTATATTCTATCTCACTTCTTAACAATTCATTTCTCCAATCATGTTTACAAAAAACAATTACTTTTCTAATATCCTGTTCTCAGACCAATTCTTTTCTTTCACATCCTTGAAAACCCTAATTCAAAACAACAACAATGGTAGTAGTAGTCCTTAAAAAGAGAAATCACATTCGAGAACTTTAAGATAAAAGTTATTTAAAGTAATAAAATTATTTTAATAATTAAGAAAAAACACTAAGTAGATTTAAAATACTCCATTTAAAGAATAAGATTTTAAAAGCGTATTTTTTTTTTTTGCGCTAAACAACTGAAAACAATTATGTCTTCAAAAATGTATTCATTAGAAACCTGTCATTACTAGAAAAATTATCGGGCCTTCGAACTTTGTTTACGACCTTCAACATTCCATATTAAATAAAAACTCGTTGACTGATTGACTAAAGCTCTTTAGGACCAAACATTGCCTTTCAAAGTCATAATCATAATTCACGTGAAGTAATTACCTTAATTGTCGCCGAAAACATGTTCTATTTAGATTGATTCAATTGCCTGCCGGTGACATTTTGTGCTCAATTGTCAAACGGGAAGCCCCTAATCATTCCTTTCCTAATGGGTATTTTAAATAGCCTGATCTCTCTTGATTATTTCACTTTGTATTATCATTTACGAAACTTTTTACCGTATTCAAAAATAACTAATAATACTTATTTTATAGATAGAAAAGTAATAAATATAAAAAAAATAAATTAAATAAAAAATACTAGTCTAGACAGAATTATTCTTATCCATTTTAATTGATTCAGAAATGAGTTTTTTTTTGGCATTTGTCTATCTCTTTAAAATAAATTCACAAAATAATTATCGTAAGCTATTTTTTAAGTATTTTAAAATATCTCTTTATTAAAAAAATATAACGTGAGAATTACAAAGATTAGTAATTATTTCAAACTCGTTTTCGTCGATCCAAATGGTAAATGAATTAGTTGTTCGTGTTACTATTTCGGACTCAAATTTAAAAACGAAAACAAAATAATATATTTTTCTAGGCAGGTTCTAAGATGTAAGATTGAGATGATGGGATAAGATCATGAGAGAACTTGGCATAATAACATGTAAATAACCCAACGAATAAAAATAGTATCCCCATGGTGAATATGCAAAATTGAGGAGTGGAGTGCTGATATAAAGTTTTAATACCATGATCCTAGGCTAAAGAAACATGAGCTTATTAAGGTAACGATTTATTCATTAAAAAAACTCAATATCCATCCAAAATGATTGATTTGAGTGAAAAAGACTTCGATCATTTAAGTAAAAGGTCTTGAGTTTAAATCTGTGTATATGCAAAAAGTTTTTTGGATAACTGTTTTTGTCTTGTGCGTTTTATAGAATAATAAAAAATTAGTTTGAGTTTTTAAACTTGAGATACCTTGAAAGATAAAGATAGATAAATAAAAAATAAAAAAACTGTCCTTTAGTCGTTTAAATAAATGATCTTGAGTTCGAATATGTGTATATGTAAAAAGTTCTTTGAATACTTGTTCATATCTTGTATGTCTTATAGAATAATAAAAAATTAGTCTGAGTCTTTAAACTTGAGGTGCCTTGAAAGATGATTTAAAAAAAAAAACTCACTACCCTGAAAATGTTGCATCTCTCCTGTTCTCTCATCTTTTGGTCAGTTTGGCTTTGTATCTCTTTTGTCTAAGACATGCAGATTGCAATGATATAGCTCATTGTCCTTTTCGATTCTCCTATTTATTTAACCTCATATCCACCAATAAAGAGTTTATAATGTTTCAAAATGGCTAGAAATTTCATTTCCAAGACACAAATGACTTCCCCGTCATGTAAGAAATTCCTTATCTTCTGTCTTCCCCAATCGCTGAGGACTTAATTAAATAAAAAGAAGGGGGACAAGTCCCCTTTTGTTGCCTGTTTCAGTTAAAGAAAAGTACAAAAATATCGAGAGATTCCTTCAAGCTTTTTAAGCCTTTTAACCATGGAAGGCCCACCATGGAGATTTTAAAGCACCAACCAAACTCTACTTTTGTAAAAGTACTTAAATACAATACTGACTGAGATATAACATCCAACTGTTAAATAATTTATTTTGCTCACTGTTTCTGTTCTAAACTTGATTAACGACAAGATGCCAAGTTTGGACACAGATGAGCCCTGCCCTGGTAAAGATTCACCCCATACCCATTCTGCAACTTCAACTAATTTATTAATGCAAAATATCACACCATTTCTTAGACAATTTGCATATTTTACTCAATTAGCAAAAAAGTTCTCAGAAATGCAGAAACAAGTTAAAATGAATGAACTATATATATAAGGTAATAAAATATTTTCAGATTAGTTTTTACATCGATCCATGCATCGATCGAATTTAAATATATCACTTTTGAAATTAAATTCGTGTCGCTCTTAGTTCATTCTAATACATCGCTTTCTCAAAATAATTGATCTACTTTTTTATTGATTATAATCAATCAAAAAGCTTGATTTTTTAAATTCACTATCAGTTTATATCTAATACTATACAAAAAAACATGAGAATTTAATTTTATTCTAAAAACCTGATTTAAAAATAAAAAAAAACTATCAATTCATGTCAAGTACTATTAAAAAAAAAAAGGACCATTTAATCTTATTTTAAAAGGCAGATGTTTTTAAATCCACCTACAGCTCGTGTTTTGTGTGTGTATATATATATATATATATATAAACTTTTCAAAATTGAGTAAAATCTATATGTCAAAGACATTTTCTTAGCATGGATTTTGCTCCGTTCCATTTTTTTTTCCAATAATAAAGGTATTCTTAAACCATCTTTGGTGCATTTCAAGACTAATATTTTCTTAAAAGTAACTAAAAAATACTTTTTAAATACATAATTTTAAATATTCTGAAAATAAATTTTAAAAACTTCTAACCATAATGATTGAACTGTAAACCTAATTTATAAATAACACTTATTTCCTAGCAAGCCAAGACCTTGTGGTTTGCTCCGTTCAACCTCCATTTTAACATTAGAAGCCAAAGAGACGAGAGAGAGAGCACAAGAGAAGGAAAAAGAGAAAAAGGGCAGAAGGAGATAAAATTAACAGTACGATTTAAAAGTAATGGTTATCAAAACTGCTGAACTTGGAATTTTCATTAGCAAACACTAATTATTTTTGTACATCGTCAACTTTCATCTATGTCCAGACTTAGGCTTTGATCACAGCATGGTCCTCTCAAACAAAAGTAACAACCATTGCCCATTTTCTTGAGACCCAACTAGCTAGATAGCTAGCAGAGAAATCCATTGCAGCCATGCCAAGCCAAAAAGAAGGACCTTGGACCACCATACCACCACTGGCAATTGGTGGTCCTGCACTCCTGCCCGATCAATCTGATGGAGGCTTCAGTTTCACTAGCTAAAAATTACAGCCCAATTACACACCATATATCTCTGAAAATTCCTGACTCGAAAAGAATTACAAATGTAGTATACAACATTATTGTAAAGAATACATATACCAAAAAACTTTAGTAAGAACTTATAGTAACTGTTTCTCTATAAAATTTTCTTGTAAAAATTTCCTCTTCTACCATCTGGGTATATGATCATCTTCCCAAATTGGATCCCAAGTACCCAAATCACCATGATTTCTTAACTTCCTCCCCTCACCACCTGTAACCAGGTTGCTCCTGTTCTTTGAATCTCCTAAAAACCCCATCAACAGCAACATCAAATGCATCCTTTGTAGTCTCTAAACCTTCTTGAGGTCTAGCATACACAAACTTTGGTATAAATTCGATAACTTTCTCCCTCATTCTCCTAATCTCATCCTCACTGTAGCTCTCAAGCACTGTCCGAATCGAAATAGTCCCATTCTTCACCGCATTTCGATCGATGAACACCGAATAACTCTGCGGCTCTGCCGGTAAGAACCACTCGTATTGATAATAAGCAGATCTATTCCAGAACAAGACCGGAATCGAACCAGCAATCATACAATCGAAAATCGACCTTCTTGTAAAACTGTCACCTCTAGGCTGCAAACAAAATGCAGAATCCAAGAAGGCTTCAAGAATGGTTGACGTTCCATTAGAGCATTTAGAGCCAGCACAATCCACAACTCGGCACGAATCAGACTCATTCCTACAATGATTCAATAACAACCCTCGAAAATCGTTCTTGATTTTGCTACGTTTTGCACCAGCAAAACAGAAAAGATTTTTCCTGTTGCGATTTCGGACAAAATCTTGCCACTGGACAATATCATTGTCCGATCGTGGGTGGAATCCGGTAGGATAAGGGACACCAACATCAAAATAATCCCATGGATTCCGTTCAATCAAAAGGCGAGTAATGTTTCGCATACCTGGCTTGTAAATGCAACTTGAACCCCAATCCTCGTCCTTGGACCGTCGAAAATCCCAGGAAATTCTTCCCATTGTCAAGAAATGATCCCATCCTTCATTTCTTTGAAAATACGGCTGGTCTTGAACCCACTTCAGCATCATCTCGCAATGAAAATCACGTTCTTTAGCTGATGAATTCTTGAGCCATAAAAATTTCCCGACAGCAAGTCCAACATAAAACGGGATGTAAAATGCTGTCGCGTTGTTGGGGTCTTTAGTTCTGCACTTGTGATTCAAAATTCTGTTGTGGACAAGAATTTCAGTCACAAACTGATCAGTCCAGTACCAAGCGGGAGCAAGATTTTCCGGTACAACACTGGAAATTCCGGTGGCTACAGGGCCAAATCCGTCATTCGACAACGCAGCACAGCTTGAACTCCACGGGTTCAATTCATCACAATCAGTAACCAACTCTTTGTTCAAAGCACTCGGAAGATCGTAGACAAAGATTCTACCAAACTCGCAGGAACTTTCCTCTTTCACTGTGCTGGCGGTGGTGGCGGAAGCGGTGGTGGTTGTGGTGCTGATGGTTGCGTTGAGGTGGTGGCGGTGAGGGGCGATGAAGGGAGAAGGGAAGTGATGACGGCTGGGGTGGAAAGAGAGAGGAACGGAGCGGAGAGCGACTAGAAGGAGGATTTGAATGAAGAAGATGGAAAGGAAAAGACATATTCGAGGTTGGTTAAACGAAGGGTAATGAGCAGCAAGAAATGCTTTCAGTGACTTGAATGAGTATTTTCTTTGGAAATCAGGTGGAGTTTTTGGTTTCTTGATTTGGGGTTCAGGTGAAGAAGAAGGATTTGAGAGAGGAAGCAGCATGAGAATTACCTTTTCCGGCTCGCCGGTAAAAATGGTGGCAACGGTGGTGGAGAGAGAAAAAGAGCGTGTCTAGTGGAGTTGGTTTCTTGACGTTCGTGGAGTTTATTGAGTTATGTTTGGATTGAGGTGGTTTTTGTATTCCACAAGGTTGTAACCGACAGGCAATTGAGGTTTCACCGAGTGACATGTGGCAGTTTTGATGAGGTTAAAAGGTTAAAGCTGAAAAAAGAAGAAGCCGAAATTAAGGTAAATTTTGGTGCTTTTTTCAAGAGAAAGACAAATTCGATGGTGGATTTATAATTTGTAAAAGGAAAGTACAGTTTCTGAATAGAAACAACTAAAGGAAATGTTTTTGTTGTTGAGATGTTTTGGAAAATATTTATGCTTGTTATTATGGTAACAATTACAATTTTAAGACTTATAGTAATTCAGATTTCATGCATTAGAAGTTCAAAACCTTATGTTTTTAGATTGGTTGATAAAAAATAAATACTTTTGGAAAATATTTTGATTGATAAAAAAACGTCTAAATTCATCTATCAAATATATATATATATATATATATATATATTGAAGATTCGTGATGTTAAAATAAAACTTATTTGTGGGTAATCTATAGATCCATATCTAATATTTACCCTCAAATTAAAAGAATTATAATCACATAATTAGGAGAAATACGAAACTCTTATTTCATTAATTGGCACCATCAAACTTTTGTGGAATTATTAGTTGTTCTCTCGTAAAAATCACAAATTATTTTTATAATAAATTTTATGTTTTTATGTGAAAACAAAATACAACTTTTGACATATCTTATGTTTTTATTCAAAAATAAGATACGATTCTTGATATACCTAATAATTTCTGCTATTTATATATTTTTTTATTCTTAAAATATTTCAAAAATCTAAATTAATTATTCACTATTTGACTGGACATATAAGAAAAGCATAGCTACAAAAAAAGTTTTTTTTTTTGTGTATATATAAAAATTTAAATTTAAGAATATTTATTTAAACTAGTATAGCTCATTCAACTCAAATTAGACATTTTGATCATACATTGTTTTATTTTGATAAATTAAACGTATTCATTAATTTCTCTGTAAATGTCCTGTGGCTAATGACACATTAAAAGTCAAGCCAAAATTTACACTCACCATTAACGGCGAAGATTTCCTTTTTATTTTTTGGAAAATATCACACAGATTTCTCTTGTTCTGTATTTTCTAATCGCCTCCGTAATTTACTATTACTAAATACTACTACATATTTTTTATAAAGAAAAAAATACTATTATGTATATTGATTACACGAAGAAGAACAATTTTTAATTTTTTAGATTAAAATTTTAAAATAAATATTAAATTTAATAATTTTTTTAAATATATTAGGCTGATATATAAATACATTCATTAAGATCGTTCGAAAAATATTTTTTATTAACATATAAATTCATTCGAGAATATTATTACTTTTGAATAAATAAAAGGAGAAGAAAAAAAATCCCAAGTAAAATAATTTGTACTTACCACAGCTAAACCTGAGTTAAAATGTTGACCCATGACGTAATCAAGCCACGTGTACGCGGAAAAGGGGCCGCAGAAACAACTTGGACACCTGTTGGATTTGTCGCCAGTGACCCAACGATATCGTTTAATATAGAAAAGTGCATCGAGAGAACATCATTAACTTCATAGAGTATAAGATTAAGTATATATTAATGTTTATATTTTAGATGGGACGGAATTGAATATATCTAACTTAATAGGGTTGGACTAATAGGTTAATAATTTGTTTGATTTGTATGCTTTAAAAATGCTAATATAATATTATATTTAATAAATTTTTTAAACTATATGAAAAGTTAAAAACTATAACTTTAAAACAAATAAAATACATATTTATTATCAGCGGGATATCTATCGGTATTTTTGAATTTTAATAAACATTTCTTTTTCGTTTTCTTTTTTGGGAAAATAAAACTTACATTTGGTAATCTACAATACAAATTATGTAAGAATACAACTTGAATCCTTTTTGAGCTTAATAGTTGTTGTTTAAAAAATTTAGGTTTAAGATTGGTTCGAACGAGAAAAATAAAAATCATTTAGTTTGAAAATTTTAGATTCGAGTTTCATTGCTAATTTACGACAAAAATTAGAATGTTATATAAATAATATCTTAAGGTATCATTTAATAGTTTAAATATTTGGATTGAGATAATAATTTAATATGATATCGGATTCTAGTTGATTAAGTAGTTCGACTTCAAGTCTTACTATCTATATTTCTCTTCTAATTAATTAAATATAAAATAATATAAACATGTGTATAATAAATTTTTATTTAAGAATATATATTTAAAAATTATATAAATCATATATTATTATAACCATATCTGCAAAGACATCTTAAGTTTTGATTTCACAAGCATAACGAAAAATCTTTTTGATATGTGTACGTGAAAGATATATATTATTCTACGCAGAATATATGATCAATCTATTTGTATATTCATTTTATGCATCAAGAAAACATTTAGTTTCATTTTCCATCAAATATTTTTAATTAATTCATTAGATAAAAAGTATATTTTCCCAAAAATAATTATTTAAGTGAAATATTTATTTTGATAATTCAAGTAATAAATTTACAAATAAATCAAAATATTCAAGAAAATACATGTTAATTAAAATCAAAATTAAACACAATCATCCATTCCTTGTTCTATCGAATGGGTTTTTTCATCTCAATACATTCATTACCACCTCGACACAAAATCTCTGGCTCCACCATTAGCTATGTCTTAGCAATTTAAAAAAATTGTTGTGTTCTCTCCTTTTTCTTTTTCTTTTTCTTTCTTTTCTTTTTTTTTTTTAAAAAAAAAGAAGTACTAATTGCCGACAAAGTGTTGGCAGTGTTGTGGCCTGTAAAGTCTGGTGTTCTGTGCCTTTGTGTATGTTTCAAACTTCGGTGCACAACTGGACGCTTGGCAGCTCAAATGTGGTGAAGGAATTTAGAGTTTGGACCCACTTCGAAGACAACTTCATTATTTGACGTTGTTTATGCACATGTTTACAAGGTCCGCGTAGTGATGTATTATTCATAATTTGCTGGATTTCATTGCATCTATACGGAAATTTTTGTTTTTTTATCTTTTTTTCCAATACCATCAAAGTCTTTTTTTAATTTAAAAACAGTAATATATTTTTTAATTAATTTTTATATCAATTGAAAATAAATTTATTATATTTCAAATTAAGTCAGCGTCAAAATATGTTCAATTTTTTATTAATCATTAAACTATTTTTTAAGTAAAAAAAAAGCTCAAAAATTAATACCACTAGAATAAAATTATAGCTAATTATACCTTATTCAGTCAAGAATAATTCCAGATTAGTTTATATATTAATTGAAATTAAACTCTCTTCTTTTCAACTATTTTAAATATGTATTTTCACTTTAAAGAATTAATTAGTTTAAAGCGTTTTAATAGTTGTATTTTGAACCTTCTCTCTCTCTCTCTCTATATATATATATGAGTCAACGAGGACTTTTTGGTACACCAAGCCAACTTTTAATTACCTGTACTAGTCGTAATCTTAGGCCGTACATAGGTTTAAGGAAACTTGATGATCCGGAAATACCAGATAAACCTCTTTAATTTATTATTTGTTTTTCGTCATAAACCTCTTTAAATTGATTACAATTGTCATGGGGAAAAGTTAATAATTCATGGAAAGTATGATCAACCGACAAAAATTAAATAGCATTTGGGAACAGGAATTGATGGATCCTTGTGGAAGCCGATGAAAGGAATAACTAAGTACATGACCCCCGTACTATAAGAAAATGAAAAATTAAACACTTCATTAATTTAATTTTTTATTATATTTATAAATAACAAAATATTATCGAACCAAATTCTATATAATTGAGATTAAATTTATTATTTTAAATATTAATAAATAAAAAAATTGAGGACTCAATTTTGAGAAAATTAAGTGAATTTTTTCCTACTAGTTGCATTCTATCTAGTGAAGATGACTAGTATACTTTTGTTATTAGAATAGTAATGTCAAAAAAAAAAAAAAAACTCAAATAATATAAAAGTAGAAGCTTTTTTGTGTAATTGTGATGGCCAAAGTGCCAACATGATAGCAAACGTTTTTAAGCACTTATTTTTTAGGTTTAATAAAAGTTTATTCCTTCTATCTCAAAAAAAATTATTTGCATTCTTATTTATATTTATTTTAAAATGTTTATCTAATCGAAAATTTAAGTGATGCATTTTTTAAAAATATTTTGATTAAAATTTATTCTGTAAAAGATTGTTGAAATAAAATTCTTTATAAAAGATATTTTAAAAAGTATGTATTAAAATATAATAAATTATATAATAATTCATAATTTTTTTAATATGTATGAAAAATCAAAAAAGACGATTTCTTTAAAACAGAAATAGTAATATAAATTGAGCTACACATTGGAGTTAATCTTTCTCCGATTTATAATTTATTTTTTTCAATTTTCTCAGTATCTGAGATCGAGAGAGATTATAATTTACATTTGCTCGTATAAATTACATATTTTTTTTAAAAAAAAAATTGATGTCGAAACATTTTCAGATCAATGATAAGGGTAAATTAATTCTCTCCATTAATTGGAATCCAAGAATCAAGTTAATGGGAGTAAATGTGCATTAAACTGTTTGATTTGGTCAGCTCTTAGACATTTTATAAGGATCCTAATTAGGGTTCTAAGTATTTGCCTCCATGAACCCCTACATTGACATCTGCAAGCTCTTATAACATATTTTGTAAATTGTAAACTATGTCTACAAGCTCTTAACTTGTCCACAAACATGTATTTTTGGTAGCCTATTGTGGAACACCTCAGCACCTAACGTGGCAAAAAAGAATTAATCTTCACATGTCAATGTTATATTTTACAAGGAATTAAGGTAAGATCTAACAAGTGTACGTAAAGGATTTCAATTAATAGTTGACTATTTATCTATGCAGTGCACGAATATTCCAATCCTGAATTTTCTATTGGGTTGAAAATTGGATGCAAGTGGAAGTTGACCTAATTATCAACAATTGATTTTCTAATTAAACCGGCTAAATTATCAATATTGTAATAGAGTCATGGTTTATGAAACGGGTACTCCATCTTCTATAATTTTCACCAAAAAAAAAAAAAAAATTTGCATTGATAGATTAACTAATTAACAAAAGTCAAAAGGCCCTCTTGAAAGATTAGTTTTTGTGTTTTCAAATTAAATCCTTATTTCATCATATCTTAAGCAAGAAAATTTACCAAATTAGAAATTTACCAAATTAATACATTTATGAAAACATTTTTTTCTTTATTTTGGAGGATTGAAGAATAAAGGTCTAAGCCTAAGAAGCAAAATTACAAGTAAGGAAGGTTGGAATTAATGAATTAAGGAATTGAAATCCCAATAACATAAGTCATTGAGACCTACTAAAGAATTCACTAGAAAATGCACTCCAATGCTAGCACTCAAACTCGTATTGGTTATTTTATATTAATTGTAGTAATGATCGAGTATTTACTTATAAGTATTAAAGGACCATCTCACCTAAAAGCTTAAGCTGATAGGTAAGTCCTAAAATATAATTTATACTAGTCTCTAACACACCTCCTCAAATGAAAGGCTCAACATTTGGGACATGAAACTTGCATAAGTCTACATTGCCTTGGGCTTAATACTTAAGAAATTGAGGATGGTGAGACTCGAACTCGGGACCACAAGGTCAACCGGACTCGATACCATATTAAAGGATCATCTCACCTAAAAGCTTAAGTTGATAGGTGAGACCCTAGAATATAATTTATACTAGTCTCTAACAATAAGTATATAAAAAAAAAATCTTATTTTTTGAATCAGTTTCGAAGTTGAAAAAATTCAATAACACTTACAATCTATATTAGAATTCGAATTAAACATGTTTTGTGTATTAACATCGAATAAATTGATGAGAAATATATAATTTAAAATTCATATGTGAAGAAAGAGATTGTTAAGTTATCTCACATCGTTTATAAAAGAAATTTGACGATTTGTTATAAATATGAGAAAAAATCTCATTTATTAAGTTAATTTTTAAAGTCGAAAAAATTTAATGGCACTCAATACTTTAATACCGATTAATTTGCAAATTGTTTCTCCTCTACGTGAGTGACAAACTCGTATAGTCCAATTTTCGCTAAAAAGATTCATGATTTCTCCAATAAAGGATCCCTAACAATCTTGTGAAATCTTTTAAACATAGGTTTTGCTTTTTCACCGATTTAACTTGTTTGAATTGAGTTGGTTAAGTTCGGGACTGTTTTTTTTTACACGGATAAAACCTGGACTGTTTGCTTCGAATAATTCCAAGCCCACCGACTTAATTTTGGAATAATTAGTGCTAAGGTTCTGATTAACGTTTTAGACCACTAAACTCTTGATCTTTAACGAGTCCCTTAAGACAAGTTTTGTTAGCTTTTTTACTTTCTTTTTAATAAAGTTATGCACAAATCTATCATCTTTATTGGTTGCTTCGCAAATGACAATATGTCATCAGAATTTTAATGATTGCAGATTCCTTCTCCCTTTTTCCGTTTGCAATTCATCCCATAGTTTTTATTCAGTTAATATGTGCTACTTTTTGTTAAAAAAACCATCTCATTTAGAAGTTCTTTTCTTTCGTTTTTAATTGATCATCATAGTTTTTATTTAATTAATATATATTATTTTTTATGAAAAAATCATCTAACTTAAAAGCTTAAAATGCTAGACGAGACTTTATAAATAATTTTATATTATTTTTTAATATATTTTTTCAAATAAAAGCTCTTTAGATTTAAAAATTATAGAGATTTAGGTTACTTTTTGCTAGCTTTTTAATTTTCTTTTTAATAAAATTATGCACAAATCTGTCATCTTTATTGGGTGCTTCACAAATGACAATGTGTCATCAGAATTTTAATGATTGCCGATTCCTTCTCCCTTTTTTTCGTTTGCAATTCATCCCATAGTTTTTATTCAATTAATATGTGCTACTTTTTGTTAAAATACCATCTCATTTAGAAGTTCTTTTCTTTCGTTTTCAATTGATCATCATAGTTTTTATTTAATTAATGTGTTATTTTTTGTCAAATGATCATCTCACTTAAAAACTTAAAATTATAAATGAGGCTTCGTGAATAATTTTATATCATTTTCTAACGAATATTTTCAAATAAAAGCTTTTTAAATTTAAACTTGTACATATTCATACTACCGTGTAATTAATTAATTGGAAGAGACCGAAAGTTTTTTGGACTTGAAACTTATATAAATCCACACTACTTTGTGCTTAATTAATTAAAAGAGAAATGAGGATGGTGAAATTTGAATTTTCAACTATTTGATCATCAAGACTCTAATATTATGTTAAAAAATAATCTCACCTAAAAAATTAAATTGATAAATGAAGTTTCGTAAATAATTTTATATTATTATTATTATTTTTTTTTTATGGCTTGAATTGTCAATGGGTGCAACAAATATTTTGAACACAGACATTAGATTCTTCGGAAAAAAAAAAAACAATAAGTGAAGCAATACAGGTAGAAGATTAATGATGTCAATTTCACTTGACCTGTTAAGGGTAGGGCATCATCACCTCATTCTTTTTTTACTATTATTATTTATAACTTAGGATGCCAATAATATTATATTAGGGCGATGCTATTTCTACTCCTAATCATTGTCTTTTTGATAGACTATTCCTACTACTCTTAAGAAGAATTAACATTGATATTTTAACAGGAATTAATGTAATCCACGAATACTGAATTTTATTGGGTTGAAAACTTGATTCAAATATAAAATATTTGACCTAATTATATCAAAAGTTTATTGAACTGGCCCGATTATTAATTTTGTAATATAGGTATCATTTACAAAGTTGGTCCTCCATCTTTTATAACGTTCAAAAAAAAAAAAAATTCATCTTAAATATTAGTTTTTGTATGATGAAAATAAATCTTTATTCGATTAGATTTTAAACAAGAAAAATTCAATCCTCATTTCACTCTAAGAGAAAATTCCAATGATTTCGGCATAACTCAAAAATGTAAACATTGTGGATTTAATGTGAAATTTATTTTTTAAATCAAAAATAAATATTTGTAAACAATAGAATAAACTCATTTATTCACTTCAAATATCTTTTTCTCTTTTCAACTTTGAACTTAGTAGGTTAATTAGATGGAGACTGTTTTTACACCAATCAAATATGAACTTTTCATTCACTTGGAATAATTCCAACCCCACCAATCTAGCTTTGGAATAATTAATGGTGGGGTTCTAATAATTAACGTTTTAGGCCTCTAATTAAGCACTATCTTTCGTAGGTCCAACAAGCCACATCATGTTCCCTTTTTCACATTCTTTTGTGTAAAATCATGCACAAATCATCACCTTTATTGGTTGCTTAGCAGTAAACATAAACGTGAACTCATGTTCCATGTTTTCTACAATGAAACATATACTTATGAAAATTGATTTCTCATGTTTCTCTGCTTTCCTTGAAAATACATCAAAGATTGAGCCTTTTCATAAAGAAAGCGTAGCTTTCATGCCCATATATATGCCAAGATAAATACAGCTCATACGCCAAAATCCTCTCTCACTGACCGTTTCTAGCCACACTGGAGAAGAATGGATCAAGCCAAAATAAAGAGGCAATACTGGAACTCAAAAACAAGTCCAACAACAGTATAGCTCAATGGCTGTATAACGAGCAATTAGGAAGGAACACATTAAGCTTTAGAAAGAATTGGAAGGAGCAAGGTTTCGATATCGATTTTAACTGTCAATGATCAAATCAAGTTGTATCAGACTAGTCGCAGTTTGATGATGCACACATAATGCATAAACATGTCTCCCAACTAGCTAGCATAGACAAGCGAACCATTTTCACACCAAGATGAACAAGAGGTCTGCTTTTGATGAGCTGAATTATGCAAGAATCATAATAAGATTTTGAACACAAGCAGGCTTAGCAGTGACTTTCTTCATTGAAGCAAGATTCAAATAATTATGTAATGTGGGAGAGCTAGCCATCTCAATTATCTACTCGTAAGATCTCTTTGATCAACAGGAAACTCAATTTTCTACTCGTAATATCTCTTTGATCAATAGGAAACGAAACTACAGCCAAGAAAAAGAAATAAAACTATATATAGGATGGGTTTTTCAACAATTCTAAGAGGGGTTTATCATATTGGAATTGGATTTCTGCCACTCATACCTACAAGATGGTTTTCAACTTCAAACTTTCACACAAATTCAGTACTTGCAAGAATATTGAAGATTCATTGAGCTAAGGTGCTTGGCATATCAGTATGTTTCTACTTCATCTCATGCACATAATATTTACCATAAAACGAGCCAGAAAATCAACCAACTAGTCTCATACATGCCTTCTTTATTTTATTTTATTTTTTGTTAACCCGGAAAACTGACTGTCCTCAGCAACCTTAGATGGGTATGGACTAACCCTAAACCTGGAGATTTCAAGTCCCCCCACGCTCTTGGGACTGAGGAAGCAGGCCTAAGCCTTGTGGCCACAAGAAGGCGTGGAAAGTGAGATTTGAATCTGCTGGGACTTCCAGTTCTATATGCCTTCTTTATGGACTAGAAGCAACAATCAAAGCCTAGTTAGGCAAGCCACAAGCTAACATGATCATTTAACATAACATATGAAAAATTGATATCACCTTAATGTTTATGCAACAATACGAAACTAGAGAGCTCACCCCAATCCAAAGGAATTGGGAAAATATCATTTCATAGAAGAAAAAGAAAATTTCATCGTTCAAATTCAACACAAAATCAAAATGTAGAGAAATTAATAAAGTTACTCTTTCTGCTTCTTCAAGAGCAAAGGCCCAACATTGTCTCCAGTAGCTTTGTTGTGCTTCACATGGCTTCCATCACACAGTGGAAAAGTCCCTGACCTCCAGCATCTAAGATTAACCGACGCAATTTATCATCAAGAATTTGGCAAAGCAAATGAAGATATTACATAAACCTAAGAATACATTCACTTGAGAAGGTGATTCATGTGCTTAAGAACTACAGGCCGGTTCAAGTTCAAATCTTGGGGAAATTAATCATTTTGTAAAATTTACCCATTTTGGAAATTGAAAAAACAAAAACTAAAACAAAAGGAAAGTCCAAAACAGAGACAAACCTGCAATAAGCAGTGAGTGGTTTGGAGAGTTCAGCAACCAAAACAGAGTCCACCACCTTCTCTTCGTTCTTTCTAATTTCAGGGTTTATTGCTTGAGCTTCTGCTCTTACCACCACCAAACTTCTTGGCCTCACAGCTGCACCGTTTGGCTTCACCCCTCCAATTCTTGATTTGCTATAACAAAAACTAGCACTCACAGTACTAATGCTTGCAACTGTTGCCATCGACATGATTAACAAACCTGTAGCTCTCTCTCCCACAAAATTTCTTGAGAATTCTCTGTTTCAAATTCTTGGCTTGTGAAGGAAAATGGGTTGATGATGAAACTTATGCGTGGAGTTTGAAAAGTAGGTGCTGAACTTGTGGAGAGCACACGCTCTAGTGGAATGAGTGGACGTTAGATAGTTAATATGCACGGCAGTCGACATGTCGTTTTTTATATGGACCAATTTTCCATTAAATGCTAGCCAGCCATTTGGAACATAGTTGATTTGGCCAGGTTGCTTGATCTAGAAACTTGATGATCTAGAAGGATCGGGTTTCTAATTGAATCGTGAAAGCTATTGATCCTGTCAAATCTGGTTTGATTTGGTGAAAATATTCTAACCCATCTAGTAATTAGTCTGATAAAAATCTATGTCAAAAAATAAAAAGAGTATATAAGAGGGTTAGTTTAAGTGAGAGAGACTCTAATTATTTAAGTAAGTAGTTTCGAATTCAAATTTAAATTTTTGCGTATGCAAAAATTTTCAAGATAATTGTTCTCATCTTGTGCATTGGACAGAATAGCGAGGGATTGGATAAAAAATAAATTATAAATTAGCCATTCTAGTTTCCGAAACAAAATAATTAATATCTTTTTTAAAAATAATTATTTAGTCCTATTATTTTTAAATCTATTTGTAATCTTTTTTTAATTTTTTAATTTAATTTATTTTTATTTTAAAAACGAAAAAATATAAAAAGATCGATGAGAAAAATTAAGCATGATCGACACTAGTCAAAAAACTAAATAATAATTTTTAAAATAAAAAATTAACTAATTAGTTTTACAAAATTAAAAAGACTAAAAATCAAGTTGATTACTTATCAATTGACCTAATAATCAAATGATCGAAACATATATTTCGGTCGAGTTTTGAATTACATTAGACAATTATGATTTAGAGATTAATGATAAAATATTAGATAAATTTGATTTATTATGAAATATTTTATATAATTATATGAAGTTGGCTGTAAAATGATTATTGATATCTTGGTTGAGTCCCAAATTGGGTCGGATAACTATAATTTAGGGTTTAAGGAAAAAATATTACATGGGCTTATTCATTATAAAATCATTCACACAAATTGTATGAGATTCACCATAAAGCGATTATCTATGCACGTGAGCTCGCACAATAATTTCTCCATTGCTAGCGAGCGACTAGTAGTCTAGGAGTTGAATTCTATGATAAAATTTCATTTCTTCCATGAAGAAGAAAATAAAGAAACTAGAGTGGGCCATGGGGCGGGCCCGTGATGTGTTTTTGGGCTTGCTTTGTATATAGAAGCTGATTTAATGGGCCCCAAAGCTGTTTTATAAACATTTTGCTTTAACAAATACTTCCCTCAACTATGTTCTTCTTTTTCTTTTCTTCCTTTTTTCTTTTTTTATGGATGGATGATATTATTTATGTTTAATTTCACATACAATTTAAAGATTTTCCATCTATATTAGATAAAGGGATTTGGGAATGATAAACTTAAATGGATCAGACTTTGAAAGATTATAGAATTGTTTAATCATGTCTCTACTGTTTTTAGCCTACACTCCACTAACATTTATCTAGAGTAAATTATAAATTAGCCCCTTTAGTTTTTCAAAATATTTCATTGTAGTTCTCGTAACGTTTTTAAAATTTATTTTGGTCTTTAAAATCAATTTTTAATAATTTCATCCTTTATTTATAAGTTTTTTTTGTCATCAGAGTTTTTTTTTTTAAAAAAAAAAAAACTGGTCCTTATCTTATAAAGCTTGTACAATTAGATTCAAATATGTTTTTTTTTTAAAAAAAAAATAGTAGGTATTAGTTGGGTATAAGATGGGTATTTATATTCAAAAACCATATTAGTAGTATGTATTTTTTTATCCATCTCATCATTTATTAAATATGTATTTATTAGATTAGATAAAAAGAGTACCCGTTTTATACCTTGAAACTTATCATTCTTAATTTTACTTATATTTTTTATAATAAATTACTAACATACCATTTTTATATCAATTTAATAACCATATAGTAATCGGATGTGAGAATTTATTAGTAATTTATAACAAAAACATTGATGAAAATAACAAAATATATGATGAATTTAGTATTATCCAATTATAAATTAGCCCTTTTAGTTTTTCAAAACGAATTAGTAATACTTCTTGTTTCAAAAATTAATTTATTAATTTATTGATTGGTGTGGACGATGGCTAATTTAACATTATTTTATTTAAAAAAGCTTTTTTCTCATCAATATATATATATATATAAAATCAAACTAAATTAAAAAAGAACAAAAAGGATGGAGTTACAAATAAAATTAAAAATATAGGGACTAATTAATTGGTTTTTGAAATGAAAGAATCTATTTAAGTTATTTTGAAAAACAAGAGGGACTAGTTTATAATTTTTTCTTCATTTTCAAAGATAAAACCGGTCGTTAAGATGTAGCTATCCATTCATCTACTGCCTTCATTAAACAGATGATATAAATTCAAAACTATTTATTTAAATAAATAATATAAATTCAAAATTATTTATTTAAATAATTAGAATCCTTCAAAGTCAAGTCAATCCTATTAAATAAAATTTATGACTTAATAATTTTATATTATAAAAAAACTACTAATCATAATTTTTTCAATAAAAAAAACCTCTTAATTGGTTACAATGTTTTTGTTTTTGGAGATAAAAAAAATAAATAAAAGATTAGTTAAAATGTTGCCATCTTGAATCTCAATTGCTTAATTACAGTTTATATCAAATTCGTATTTTTAGAAACTAAATCTACTACCACTGCTTTCACATGATTATTAACTCTTAAACTAATCAAAAGTTCATAGTTTATTTCTCATCGACCAATCTAGTCAATCCACGTCACAATCCCGCCTCGAACCATCATTTCATTAACTTAAAACCCAATTTTTAAGGTAAATTCAAATTAACTCCTCAACAAGACACTTTCTTTTCAATATAGTCCCAAGATAAAACTAAGTCCACCGACGCGTCCGAACCTCAAACTAGTGAGATATAAAATTCTCATGAATTCTCTTATTTATTACATGGATAGCCTACCTTTGGCTAGACCCAAAAAATATACTAATCTTGTGTAAAAAGCTACCCTAAATTACTTTTGATTATATAAAAAAACATTTTTTAGTAGATTTCATATCCAAATTATCATAAATTATTAATAAAAACACCAAATTATTTTCAAATGATGTCATTTTATTACATCAAATTCAAATGAAAACATGGAGGAATAAAGACGGAGACTTGTTTAGGAAATTCAAAAAAAATTAGAGATTTATATACAAATAAAGCGGGTTTGAACATCCTCTTAAAACATTGTAAACAATTTGGGGACTAGTTGGATACTTTGACAACAGTTAAACTACCTCGATCTATAACACCAAAGCAACAGAAGACACGATTTTTTTATTTATTAAAGCATTTGTTCCTTCAAATACAAAATTCCCTCTCTCTCTTTCTGCGTTTCGATTTCTATTGCCATGAAACGAGGAGGGTTTGCGTCTGAATTTGGATTCAGCTGGTGTTGTTGTTTTTTCTTGATTTTGATCTGTGTAAATGGGAGATCTGATAAGGAAGTAAGAGAGAGGTTTTATGGGAATTTGGTGAATTCATCAGCACCTGATAACGGAGAAGGAAGTATTGCTGAAATGTTTGATCGTGTTCTTGAAAAAGAGTTCTCTGAAAATGATCAGCCTGAAGGTAAAGAGCCTTTTTTTATTTTGCTTAATTTTTAATTTTTTGTGTTTAATTAAGGTTTTTAGGCTTATTCTTGGTGATTAAAGTAATGTTAAAGTGAAGCAGATTTTAGTAATATATGCATAAGGGTTTTGCTTTAAAGTGCATTTCGAAAGAAATATTGTGGGATTCTGTAATACATTTGATTAATTTATAAGTAGCAAGTCAAGTTTTTTAACAGAAAATTGGGTTTTGATCACATGATTCTGTTCAGTAAGAGAAGGTGGAGTTTGATCTTGAGACAGAATTGAGCACGTTTGAGTTAATCTGAGAAAGCCGTGTTGTTTTAGTTTCTTATGAGTGTTCTTTTTTTTTTTTTTCTGCCTCCAAATATATGGATCCTTTTTCTTATAAGTTGACAACTCATGCCATCTTTATGTCTGTTATTTTGACTCCAGTCTAACAATTTTTTACATGCCCTGTGGATCATAGGAGTTTCTGTTATTGAAACTGGGATGACAATTACCTACTGCATTCTATCTTTTGGAAGTTGTTTGGTCTAAATGTCATTTTGATGATATAAAAATTTGGTTCTTGTTTTTACTTTACTAGGTTCTGATCAAAGCAACTTCAACAACAGTGTAGCTGACCAACAAGTACGTTTGTTTTTCTTTTAATTATATACATTTTCTGGTTGTGGTTTAAGGCTTTAATTTTGCTTTGCTGCACAAGTTCCCCTGTGAAGCAACTTTAGAAAGTTTGACCTTACTGAAGTTTGCTACTGAACATAAGAGATAAATAGGAAGGAAATTAAAAGAATCTTACCAGGTATCTAGCTTATGCAAGATCCATACTGTTAATCTACAATGTGGCTGCAACCCTTATCTTCTATATTAATGAGAAAATTTATCTTTTTTAAAATGTCATATTTTTTCTGCGCTGCAAAAACATGGTAGGACCAACATCTTCTCTTTTGTCCTGTTCATATGCCAGTACCATTTAACATGAACACTGTCTAGGTATTATTATCTTCAGTTTTTTACCTAGGCAAGTCATTTTTCTGTTTCTACTGTTTGTTTCTCTGTGTTAGCGTTAAAGAGGACTTCTGATTATGTTTTCACAGGCTGTATTGGAGACTGTAGCTAAAATTACTCACGAGAAGGGCAAGAAAAACGATACACAAGTGGCTAAGTATGGAAGTGTATAAAATATTTTTGGGTGCAAATTATTGCTTTTTTTACATATATTCTGAGATATGATTTTGTTTCCATCTCTTTCTGTGCATAAGTGAGATTATGATGTCATACATATCTTTCCTTCCTCTTTGTTCAGTGGAACTAGACCTTTCCAGCTTCAAGATGTATTTTCTCTGGAAAATGAAGAATCCGAGGATATGACAACCCTGATTGACAAAAAGGTGCGCTGAATTTTAGTGATCCTTTCTCTTTGTGAGAGCTTTTGACAGATTCCTGGATCCAACGTTTGGTTTCTGTGGTCTGTCCTTCTAACTTGCTTATCTTGCTAATTGTAGGACAATGTATTTGTCATGTCAAACAAGAAATCCAAGTACCCAATACTTCAAGTAGATTTGAGGTGAATGAATCTGACATATCTATTTTTTTTTTTAACTGTTATATGTGAGGAAATGCTGTATGACGCTGTTGATTTCTTTTCTGCACAGTTCTTGTATCTATATTATGGCCTGACTTAACTGCTATCCTTTAAGGTTCCATGTTATGATTTTGTGTACTGCTAATACAGTGTTATTTATTTTACGTACCTACAGATTAATTTCAGATCTAGTGGTTGCCATAGTTTCTGCTACCATCGGAGGAATCGTCTCTTCTTGTTTGGGTCAACCGGTTAGTTTCTGTATATTGTGCTTTCATTTGTCTTCTATTGCTGGTATCTGGTTGCCTTTACTCATCTTGTGGATGTTCAGCTATATCATGTGATTTATGTAATGGAGTAATATCTAAGGTAAGTTTTTCTTTTGACATGTAATACATTTGGCAGGTTATTGTTGGCTATCTTCTAGCAGGTTCCATCATCGGACCAGGGGGTCTAAATTTCATCAGTGAGATGGTACAGGTATGCGATTTTTATTTTTTCCAATTGCTTACCTTTTCTTTTCATTGATGACACTGTATGAGAAATGCAAGTTTTATGAGCTATCAAATGAAGTTTTGCTACCTTTTAGGATCATGCTTATCTTAGGTTTTTAAACGAAATTGCAGATGGTAATAAAGCAGGTAGGACAAAAAATGGTTGTCAGTCAGGTTGTTTCAACATCGTCATTGACTGTGTTGGTGCATATAGTTTAGCAACTAATGATTGTATCCAATTACCCATATGTTCCAAAAAACCCTTCGTAGGTGCCTAGTATCTGGAAAATCAACACGTAGCGTGTTTATATACCATATATTGACAATAACAGTGGTGACATGTTCTCTTGGCTTCATCACAGGTTGAAACTGTTGCACAGTTTGGTGTTGTGTTTCTTCTTTTTGCTTTAGGACTGGAGTTTTCTTTGACTAAGGTAAATTGTATTTGATCTAGGGAAGTTATTTGTCATAACATTTCCTTAATTTATTATAAAAAAGGAGCCCTTTCCCCGGTTTTAGAAAAGCTGTTCTAACTTATTATCAATGCAGTTAAAAGTGGTGGGCCCTGTCGCTGTTCTTGGAGGGATGCTTCAAATTGTAATATTTATTTGCTTGTCTGGCATAATTTCTGCGGTATGATGCTTAATGCCTGTAACTTGGTTATGCTAGAAATCTGTATGATTTGTCAAATTGGATGCTAAGTTTGCACCACTGTCAACTTTGCAGTTGTGTGGAGCAAAGTTGTCTGAGGGTGTATTTGTGGGTTCCTTCCTGTCAATGTCATCAACAGCAGTGGTACTGTTCTAGATTTCTTTCTGACACTTTTATCTCTTTTCTGTTTGATTCCTCCTTATCAGTTGCAACATATGATTCATGCATTTTTTTATCAGGTGGTGAAATTTTTGGTTGAACGGAACAGTAGTAATTCTCTTCATGGTCAAGTTACAATCGGGACACTGATTTTTCAGGTTTTCTTTATTTTCTGACTTAATTTATATTTATACATAAGCACGTCATTGATATATGTTGAATTGTGAAATTGGTTTGCTTATGGACATCCACTTGTCTGATCTTGTGAATTGTTTCAGGATTGTGCTGTTGGTTTATTATTCGCTTTGCTTCCAGTTTTGGGTGGCAACAGTGGCGCTCTACAAGGAATGATTTCAATGGGGAAGTTGTAAGTTTGTTTGTGTCACCTTTTTTTTTTTTTTTTGTATAAATGATTCCTTTTGTTTATTATTTTTTATTATTATTTAATTATGGAATTTATTTACTGTTATTGAATGATTGCCACCATTCCTCTTTTTTTGGTATTTGGTGACTTTTCTCCTTCCTAAGTTTCTATCTATCATGAGAATGATTCCCATGTAATGATCCTTATCAAATCTACCTCTATTGCTCATTAACTTCAGGTTGTTGATCTTGTCTGTATACCTCATGGCTGCATCTGTTCTGTCTTGGTCATTCGTCCCTCGCTTTCTTAAGTTAATGATACAGCTATCATCTCAGGTGACTTTTCGATAGTCTTTTGTATGGATCTCATATCTTATTTGCATGGCTTTGTTCGACTACTTTCCTGTTTGAGTAGGGCCTCTTTCTAAGTGCACTCCTCATGTTCCATCTTGTGATTCAGACAAATGAACTTTATCAGCTTGCAGCTGTCGCTTTCTGCTTGTTGTCTGCTTGGGTAAGCGAAAAATATCTGTACCTTTCTTGTCGAGGAGAAATAGCTTTATCTTTATTTTTTTATAATGAAGGAGAATTAGCCTTATATGTTGCTGAAATAGATTTTTTATCCTACTGAATATTACCTTTCCATGAAATTGTAGATATCAACTTGTTTGACATATTTTTTGCCGTTTATGGAGTGATATGGATTCCAATGTCGCATGAGATACTTGCAAACAAGAACATCAAAATTGGCAGTAGCAAATCTGCATTACATGTTTTTGCTTTCTTAATCACTGATTATTTCACCTATATGCTGCTGATTATGAATGTCATTGAGAGACTGCTGCTTCTTTTGAAATGCAACTAGATTAGATATGTCTAAGTTTGAAGGGTGGTTGAATCTCTGACTTTAAGGTTGGAAGGTTGTCCATCCATCAGTTACATGCTCAAAAGATTAATTCAATTTCTTAGCAGAGTTTACATTATTTTTATGTTTTCTCAAAGTGTTTGATAACCATCAGGACCATTAAAATTCTACTAATTCAAACATGCAGAGTGGAACAACAATATATTCTTAAGATAGAGGATGTAAGAAAACCTAATATTGAAAGTTGATAAATTTAGTGACATCATCTCTGTTCTGCTTGAACGTTGATGATTGACATATGGTATAAAGCCTCTAATTGTCATTAGTCATATAAATGGTTTGTTTCCTTGATTTATGCTACATTTTCTTATACTTTAGCCAGAAATCATCAAATTTATGAAAGGAATTCATGTAGTTAAACTATGAGTCTTTATCTTTTAGTTAACTGCAGAAGTTATGATGTTGAGCTGCGGCATATCATGATTCAGTGCTGCAAGGAAATGTTTTTGTTATCATATTCTCATTATTCTTGGATTTCCTTCAACCATTTAGTGCAGCATATTGCTGCTTGGGAATGCTTTTATCATCATGTTCTCATTATCCTTGGATTTTCTTCAACTGTTTCAGTGCAGTGACAAGCTGGGTCTTAGTCTTGAGTTGGGTTCATTCATGGCTGGAGTCATGATATCTACCACTGACTTTGCACAACATACTTTAGAACAGGTATTCTTCTGTGCAATGGATTGTGTGCCAAGTTTTGCCACATGATAATATCCTAAATTAGTATATAAGTTATCTTCTCAGATAATATGCACTAATTTAATTTTGTAAATTGACTCTGGATTTCTGCTACTTGTTTGAGTGGCTCTACTGCTTTACTAGTATTGATTACGAGACTAACAGCTGTAATTGATGGACATCACTGTGTCACGCTTTTTTGTATTTGAATTATTCTCCATGTGGTTATGATATAGTGAAAAAATAATGAGATTGATATGTTTTGAATATGACTTGTCTACTTTGTAGGTGGAACCAATCAGGAACCTGTTTGCAGCTCTCTTTCTTTCTAGTATTGGAATGCTCATACATGTACATTTTCTATGGAACCATGTGGATATATTGCTAGCTTCTGTGATTCTGGTTATAGTTGTCAAGACAGCCATTGCTGCTGCAGTTACTAAAGCCTTCGGATATAGCATTAGGACATCATTCCACGTGAGTTGGCTTGCTATGCTTGTTGACAAAAAAAGAAAAATTGTACACGAATTTCTTTCTCTTTCCTTTCTTTTTTTCCTGAACAAAAATTGACGTATTATGTAGGTTGGAGTATTGCTTGCTCAAATTGGAGAATTTGCGTTTGTTCTCCTAAGTCGTGCCTCAAATCTTCATCTTGTTGAGGTGAGCTCTCTCTCTCTTTCTGTTTGTATGTGTGCATATGTGGAGGTTAGGGTGCCATTAACGACAGATGCATGTAATTTTTATCATCAGGAAATGACAAGTTTATGTAGGGATAGGATTAGTTTTGCTTGCAGCTACAGGTGGTCATACTTTTGATGCCACGATAAGATATCGGTGTAACCATATGCGCACTTACTCGTCCTTGATTAGTTTTTAAACCATGTTGGTGGCTTTAATGCAGGGAAAGATGTATCTTCTTCTTCTTGGAACCACAGCTCTTAGTCTGGTTCGTTTCTTAGATACTTCCTAATGGAATGATAGCTTTAACTATATACCGGTTCTCTTGCGTTAAACGTTTAATTTATTGATGATCATTCAGGTAACAACTCCTCTCCTGTTCAAATTGATACCTAATGTCATGAATTTGGGCGTCCTTTTGCAATGGTTTCCATCAGAGAGCGGCACTCCAAATAAATGGTTTCCATCGGAGAATGGTACTCCAAATGAGGTTCTCCCTTCTTCCCTGTTTGTGTTTGTGTGTGTGTGCGCGCAAGCGCATCTTCACATAGACTACTGTGTGATTTCTTTTGTGTGAAAAGACTGCATACTGGGAATTTTTCTGGCACTCATTGAAGCATATTGGGCCCTGTTTAAAATTTTCTTAAAGGCTTGACATGCTGACACATCCCAGAACTCTATCATTTATCTTTTTTATGAATATTATATCTAGGAAAGAGTGCTATCACTGTTCTGCTGCAGGTACAACCAAGGTCTTAAAGCTCTTTTTAGTGGGTTTACTGTTGTTTTTAGTTAGTGAATTTCTTCAAAGAAAATATTTTGTAGGAAGCTGTTTTTTTTTTTTTTTTAATCATAATTCTGGCAATGCATTCAGTTTCAATTAGGGGAATTCATATCCTTCTATGCTGCTGCTACTACAAATTCATTTGGCAGAGAATTTGTTCTATGCTGATCATTGGACTGTCATGTCGAAACTTCATTGTAAAACCATTTGAAAGTTGATTTATCTGCTCATGCCTCTTCTGTCTTTGCTTCCGACATTTTGTTTCTGTTCTCGCTGCTTCTAAATATTTTCTACGAGAAGTAACTTGTCATTTTATGTTTTTACAGGAAAAAGTTTCCGTGATTGAAGTACGTAGCAGATTGTTGTAACCTCCACATTTTGTAGTCTCCTTACTTCAAAGGAAGTATAGCTAATCATCTCTGGAATTTGTCAATACAAGGATTTTCACCTCACTGCCAATTCCACACTTCAGTTTGCAAATGACCAGCCAGAGACAATCCAGAACTCTCATGTACATACATAATACTTTCTACATTCTTTGACAGTTGTATATATAATTTTGTTTTTTTGGCCCATAAGTCATTGATGTTGATCCATCTGGCCTATTGTAGCCTGAAATCCACAATTAGTCCTGCAAAATTAGAATTTTCCTGCAGAAAATGAGAGTGTTTCTGTCAGTAAAGATTTGAGGAGCATAATGGGCTTGAACAAGAGAGACATTTCTTCGGTTTATTATATTTTTGTTGATTTTAGAATTGCATGGACTTTTTTGGATTTCGATGAAGTTAGGGTTTTTTATTTGATTTTATGGAAATTTCTTAGCAACTGCAACTAAGACTAGCATGGACGGTAATTTTCCAAGCAATTCTTGTGAAATTTCTGTGCAAGGATAGGGTTCTTTTTACGAAAACAGGCCAAGTGCCAGCCATAAGTCCAGCTTTCGATTGGTTTAAAGTCCAGGTTTATGGCCAGAAGATAAAAACTAGGAAGCAAATGACGTAGGCTAAACTAGAGTGGACATGTTCATGAATTAGCAAATTAAATTCTTTGTAAATAATTTGACAAATTTAACTATATTGTTTATTAGATTAAAATGCTTCGTCCTAATTTTTTTTTAAAAAAAAATCATTTAATTTTTTATAAATAAAACTGATGTAGGATCCGCATGTGACTCTCTTACAATCCCACAATTCATATTACGTATTTTAGGAAAATCGAAAGAGGAGAAACCTAATTTTAATTTATATTCTCCATTTAATAAATCTACTCTTTTTTGTAAATCTATTTTTTTAAAAAAAATAAAATAAAATTGAAGGCATTTGGATCAGATTGCCTAGATATAACGAATATAGAGTTGAATTTATCAAATTATTTTCACATAGCTTAATTTATGGATTTGATATAAACGTAAGGTTGTTTTTCCAATAAAAACCCTAGCAAACCGTTTAATTAAAAATAATAATTTAATTTATCATGTAACATAGGTTTCATTACGAGGCCATTCACATAGAAGAGATCCATCCTAAAATAATTTATAATTGTGTCCTAATCATTTTATGGGTGTAGATTCATTATAATTGCCCTAATTAGGAGGTCGCCATGGTGGTTAAGAGAGTGCATTTTTTATTTTGACTTCTTAAATACCAACTTCATAATCAACATGTAAGGGAATTTATTTTTTTAAAAGCACCCCATTTATATAAAAAAAATATATTCTTAAGATCGTTTTAAAAAAAATTAATAATCTAGATTCATGCATAAACTAGTCTGTAAATGTTTAATTTATCCTAATATTGGCATGGTTGTCCTACTTTTTAATTTATTTATTTTTTTAAGACAATGAAAAATTAAATGAGATTAGGTTTTTGCTTTTTTTCACTCCATGTACATCTTGGATTAGGTCAAATTAGAATAAAATATATTGTATAAACCCGCATTGAATTGAGTTTATGTTTTTTTATTGTTGGTAATTTCTTTTAAATATATTTACGTGTAACAAAAACTATTATTATATTATTACGTATAATAAAATCATAATTTAATAGTCGGAGTATGGTCTCGCATATTTTAAAAATTAAATTATCAAAAACTATATATTAATTAAATAATATTATTTGTCCATGCATTTAAAAAAAGATATTACTATTACTAGTCTATTATTATTATTATTGTTATTTACTATTTGGCGTTGGCTATTTGGATTAGCAGGTAAATATGAACCCACGTTAAGACTTAAAGACTTTAAGAACGACAAGAGCGGGACCGACAACAACCTTCGTAGCTCTTTCTTTCTCGGTTTCTAGAAAAATCATAAGGCGAAACAGAAATCAGAAGACGAATCAGATTCTTCCAGTCCAGCTCGACTCTTCTTCCATTCCGCTCTATTTCTGTCTTTAGAACCAAAAAAAAAAAAAAAAAGAACAAAACAAAAGCTGATTAGAGAATTCATTCGTTCACTGTCAGATGGAACAAACCGAGGTACCTAAGCTTCGCTGCCAGCGAATCGGCTGCAACGCTACTTTCACCGAAGACAACAATCCCGATGGTTCCTGTACTTACCATGATTCGGTACTTCAACTTTCTTTAATCGTTGACTATGTTTTTGCAGTCCTAGCCGTTAATACAATCGTGGGTTTTGTGATTTTGTAGATTTAATTGCGTTAATGTGATAGTTTGTGTGATTAGATATGTGTTTTGTGATTTTAGAGAAATATAGCTTTGGGAAGTTGTTATGATCTGTTCTTAAGGTTGTTGATTCAATGTGTAAGAGAGGATTGGGTAGAAAGCTAGGTACTTTTTTTTATGATTTCAGTAAAAAGCTGACAAATTTTGTTATTCTATTCGCACGGCATGGTGGCGCACGTGATCTTAGTAAAGATCATGATGATTGTTAAGAGTGCTGAATCTTGTCGGAGTGGTCTGGGTTTTTTGTAAAAATCTTAGCTACCTAAAGTGTTTTTCTTTTAGAAGCTTAATTATGGATAAGTAGGTCGGTGCCTTTAATGGTATGTAGCGTTTGTGTTGAAACTTTTAATTGTTAGAGTTCTTTGGCTTTGATGATTTTTATGGACTAACAGAAGGGAAAAGAGTAACAAGCATGGTTAAAAGAGATATAATTCTTGTTTATTTTCTAGGCATTTGGACGCAATGTGGTGGATTATTTCTAGGATGCTGTAATAAACTGCTCTGTCGGTATACCGAATGTTAAACTTGTACTAATGGAAGATGATACCAATAACATCTATGATTTGTCAATATGGATGTTATTGTATGAATGTCCTTTTTGGTGTGGATTTTGTAATGTTATTGTATATATCATGTTTTTAACATATGTGAAGAAATAATGGTAAATTCAATTGTTAGTAAATAACAGTGCAGGATAAGGGTGTCATTTTGAATCTATCGCACCACTTGGTAAATATATTAATATGTTCAATGTGCTACATATTATAGGGTTATTCAATGCATTGATTCAAATAATGGCTATTGTGTTATGGAATCCATAGGTCCCAATCCCAACACTGAGATAATGGATATTATGAATGTATTCAAATAATCCGCGGCTTCATATTTTTCCTGGCAATTTCATCTTTACACCTTGTATAAATTTGTGTTTTGGATAGTCTTAGTCTTTGTTAGTACATATATTTATTTATTATATCTTTTGCAGGATTTTTGTTATTTGATTACAAAGTAAACAAATTTGAGAATATAGCACTCCTTGTGTATTATACTAATTAACTTTTTACCTTGCATTGTTGGACGTGGTTTGATTGCATGTGCGAATATGTATTGAACAGGGGGTAAGTCAGTTTTTCCTTTGATTTACTTGGTTATTTTGACGAAGAAATATGGTTTTGAGTCATTACCTTAATTTTGGTTGATTCTATTTGCCAGCCTTTCTTTCATGATGGAATGAAAGAGTGGAGTTGTTGCAAGAAAAGGAGCCATGATTTCAGCTTGTTTCTGGAGATTCCAGGGTAGGTCCTGTTGCCTTTTTGTTCTAATACTTTTCTGAGGCATATGTGAATATGGCAGGTTTCTAATAAAATATGAGATCTTCTTGGTTGAATGAACTAGCCCAAACTGTTCATGAATGATATTTTGTGGTTTATAATATGTTTATATGTCTATCAACATAAATCGCTCCTTTTTTTTTTTTGGTTTTTTGCCCCTGTGATGAAGATGTAAAACAGGTAAACACACAACTGAGAAACCGGTGTTAGCAAAGGTGACTCCAACGCCCACCCCAAAGAATCCAGTTTCTACTCCCACTGCAGCTGCTGCCTCTAACCTGTCCTCAAAAGAATCTTGCCCTAGATGCAAGCAGGGTTTTTTCTGCTCAGATCATGGTAATGTCTTTTGAATGCTTTTACTACAATTAATAACCACAATGATTGAAGTAAAGTATGAACTGTTTCATTGTATGGAGGCACGTTAGTGTTTGCATTATTGAGTTGAAAAGGCATAAAGACTCTGTTAACACAAATAGGGTCCTCAGAATGCTAGCTGGTGACAATTTGAGAAATACTTCCAAGTGCTTATAAGATCTTTTTAAATTGTGGAAAATATCTTAATTTTTAGTATTATGGGAAACAGTACCCCCAAGGCTCCACTGCTTTGTGGAAATTGTCCATCTATCAAGTCATATGTAATGGAAGAGGTGGATTAAGAACTTCTTTGTCTCTGCCTTTGGCTTTAAGTGAGTGGTAAAGAGTGGGTAGAAGGGGTGGAGGCAGGTATAAAGTTCAAATTTTCCAAGTAAAAGAGCTAATAGAAGCTTAAGTAAATAAATGGTTTCTTTGAATCACGAGCAGTTGGCTTCATCTTTGTTATTCTTTTTGTTGCCATTTCACACTGTTGCATCAATTCAATATTGCAACTGTACATTTTAAACTTCCTATACCTGGTTTTCCCATTTTAAAACGTTTTATTGCTTTTAAAGCTGAAGCACACCATGTCCTTTTTAGGGTCACAAGCACAACCCCAAGCTGCACCAGCTAAAAGCCAAGCTTCTGCTCCGGCAAAAAAGATAGTTGATATAAACCTGCCCCAAACTTGCAAGAATCAGGGGTGCGGTCAAACTTTCAAAGAGAAGGATAATCATGAAACTGCCTGTAATTACCACCCTGGCCCTGCTGTTTTTCATGATCGAATGAGAGGGGTGCGTTGACTTGTATATAAAATTTACTGCATTTTGCTTCCAGCCTTTTCTTTTTATATTCTATCTTTACTAATCATCTTTTAATTTCGTGTAATTTTGCAGTGGAAGTGTTGTGATATCCATGTAAAGGAGTTTGATGAATTCATGAGCATTCCACCTTGCAGCAAGGGCTGGCACAATGCCGATCAAGCATCTTAAACTGCAGATGTTGGTCAGGACGGTGTATTTCTTTGTTATTCTTTCTCATTCTAAGTTTGGTTCTACTGGAATTAACTTCCAGTGAACCCATCACGTTTCCCTTCCCATCATATGGTTGTTACAACACTGACTTTCAATGGTTTTTAATGAAGAAACCAGGACATGAAGATCTTCCCTACTTGAGTTCATTTTGACACGATTTAGTTTTTATATGATTGCAGTAATCCTTCAGTTAGCAGGACTCTTTTTTCGTCTAGAAACATGCATATTTTGATCTATTCGTGTGTAAAGATCGCCATTTTCTTGATTCTCTCTGGAACTTGAATTTCAGTGGACAAAGGCCTATTTAGCTATTTCATTGCTCAGAGTAAGAAGCCTTGTCTTTTTCTTCTCTGACAAAAGGTCTCAACGCCAGCAAAGACACGAGCCATTTTCAATGCTCCATGTTTGTAGGGTATAAATGCACAAGTTTTCGGCTTATGATTTGTTAGTCTTGTAATATCCCACCACTCCAAGTCCAAGGCCATCCAAGACAACGCAGTAGGTCCCGATCCTGTAGCTTTAATTCATGGCCCATCGCATTTGATCTTTAAATTGGTACACAGTAGTACCCTATTATGGAGCTTTTTTTAAAAAAAATTTTTTAACAAGGGAGAGAAGAGCTCTAAGCATTAGGATGAGTGTTACTAAGTTTTGGAAGGCTAAACCACGTATATCCTTCAGAACGAGGCTAATACGCCCCAATAGAGCATATTCAAAATACCAAATACCAAATTCTCCTTGTAAGAGAATAAGCATATGAAGTTAATCCGTCAAATGGTTAGCTTTTCTATAGGTGTGAACCATATGAACCTGTCAAGACCTCTGAAGGATTTTACATATAGAAGAGAATAGTTGTTTGTATTTTCTTCGATGATTAAGTGGATCTGGAATTAACGATATTGCTATTAAGGAGTTAGATTTTAATAGAATCTGTTGAAAGTTCAAATTTCATATCATTTCCAAACCAACTAATATCTCCCAAAGTTTTGCACATAGCTCCCAACATGTCCCAATTTGATAAAAAAATGTCATGCAATCAAACACCTCCTACATCCTGAAGGACACCCCCAACCGTAGCAATTCCACTTGACTATCTCAAAGCTGAACGAAAAAGAAGTTTTCTTTTATTAAGTAATAATCAAATAAATTTGAAGAAAGCTAGTGGGCACGGAACCGTTGGACTATTTCTATTTGTTTCAAGTTCAACCCTACTTGCAAACATGACTTAAATTACAAGCTATATGCCAACAATCAAGATTCAATGTGTGTAGAATATCAGTGAAATAAGCTTTGGCAATTCGTCACTTGAGAAATCTCTCTCTTTCGAGACTTTTTGTCGTAAAGCCAAGGGAACAGGGGATGCATTGATGCAAAAGAAAGATGGGCACATGGCACAATTTCACATCAAATGGAAAAGAAAGAAAGGATGATGATGATGATGATGATAGTAATAATAATATCAACAACAATAATACCCTTTCTTCATAAAGCAGAACAGCGTAAAAAACAGTGGACATTTGCAGATAGCAATCACGGGTCCTATGATGGGTGCAATCAATACTCCATCTTTATTTCTCTACCAAAACATCTCTGGCTTGGGTCCCACAATTCTCTTCCCTGCTCAAAGCTCTTCAGACATATAAATATACAGGCACGGCACAGCCAAAGACACAGACAGAGTCTTTGCTTCTTCCACGACACAAGTCTTGATTCTTTGGTCTACCGTTTGACTCCTCTTTCCATATGTCCTTTCGCATCTTTCTTTCGACGTTGCTTGGGAGCCATACGTGCATGGACGTTTGTACTTGATATTTAATGTAACCCTAGGCTTAGGGACTCTTTCTGCAAATTCAAAATATTTTATTTTGGATACCTCATTTTCACTATTAAAAAGAAAAAAAAAAAGATTACAACTTATTCTTGCACATGAAATTAGCTTTCAGTGTTATAAATGGGTTTGCTGCCCCACATTCATGCGTGAGAAAACTCAGAAAAAGTAATTTCTTATAAACATTGAAAGTTTGCGAAAATTGACTTGAAAAAATGCAGTTTTGCTCATTGTTAAATTATTTAAATATAATAATTATCAAATAAAAATAAATTAATTAACCACTTAAATAAACATAACAAAAGACACTTCGGCACAAAAAGGATTTATATATTCATTTTTGGATTTAACATTTGCAAATATTAGCACTTCTTCACATTGCGGACCGTGTTTGTTCTTAAGGTTTTTGTCAACATTTACCAAATGGTAACTCTTCAAAATAACCCAAAAAATGGTGAGAACATATTTAAAATGGACAGTTGCAGTTTTGTGGTAAAAAAATTATTTTAATTTAATCAAAATTAATATTCAATTTTTATTATTTATGAATAATTATTTATTAATAATATTAAATTTTGACTGATTTGATTAATTTAATAATCAATTAAATATTGAACATGTTTTGACATAATGATATTAAGTTTTTACTAGTTTAATCAATTTAATAATCAATTATATATCAAACATATTTTAACGTTAATTTAATTTCTTAAAACATAAATTTAATTTCAATTTAATACGATAATATTTTAATATCTATTAATAAAAAAAGGTTAAAGATTTAATATATTTTTTTATTATTTCAAATGTCTTAATCATATTCATATATTAAAATTTTCAACTATCGTGTCTCTATTCTTAATTACGTATGTATTTGATTTCTTCGATCACATTTTTAAACAATAAAAATAAAAATAATAAAACAAAAAATATTGAAAATTAGCTGTGTTATTTAAAAAGTGATAAAAAGAATCAAATATAAATATAATTAAAATAAAAAAAATATGATAATTAAAATTTTTAATAAAAAAATATAATTAAAATATTTGAAACGGCAAAAGGATATCATCAAACTTAACTCTGTGAAGATTATTCGCAAAACCAACTTAGCAGAAGTTTTTATTTTGATTGTATCTACTAATATCTTTGTTCAAAATTGTATTGGAACTTGAACTCTGGCTAGCCCACATGGCAAATGGGTGTTGGAAAGAATGAGACCAAAGAATCTCAGTCAATGATTACAAAACGAGCTCTACCCACATCGATAACCACACACATTAGGGCAATAGCAACTATTTCGTTATGGGATGGAAAAATCAACAAGGTATAAGCATGTTTCTAAAAACCCTAGTAAAATCACATCAATCCCAACTTTTTGAGAGCCAATATTAAAATAAGTAACCGTACATGCATGGGTCCGACTAGGTCTGCATGCAGGTGGGGGACCCAGATTTGTGTCACGCCGGCTGTACTAGCAGACGGCTGTAACCGGCGGAGCAGTCGCTGGTGGTGCTGGTTGCTACTTTCCTGTGACTGTTTTTGATGACACCTAGCTAGGCTCTGACCTAGCTACGCCAGGGTGTGTCCTTTTCTTGAGGCTAATGGATTGTCTCGGATTTCTTGCAACGTGTATTAAGATTTATTTTGAAATGATGCTCTTCTGGTTCATTGCCTCGGCTAACTAAATCACTGAAAAGGGCCTGAAAGGTTTCTGTTTTTAGGTTTATGAGTGCTTGCCTTTAAGTGAATATATATATATATATATATAAGGCTATCCATTTTTAACGTTTTTTAAATCAAGTATAAAAATCTTAATTTTTTTCATTTCAATATATTATTTTTTAAAACAATTAATCTTGTTTTTTTAAGCAGCTAAATTATAATTTTTTTGCCTTTTATTATTGCAAAAAAAAAAAAAAAATCCTGCAAAAAAAATTTGTCATTTTTAAATTTTTATAAATACCTAAACAATAAAAATTAATAAAACAATTTGAGAGGAAGAGTTTTCTCTTATAATATAAAAACAAAACCATAGTTTAATAATCTTGAGCAAAAGATACATTATTAAATACTGAAGTAATTGATAAAAATTAAACGATAATACATGATTGGTAATTTAAAAAATTGTGTATTCAAATAAAAAATTAAAAAATATTTTTTTCGATAGAAAAAACATTGTCATAATTCGTTTTTACTATTTTTTTTTCCGATGTTGGATAATGTATCTCACGGTCAATTGTCTTTTTAATTAACATAATTATGCAAATGAACACATGTATACTCATACTCATTATACAAAGAATTGTTAAAAATACATATGATAGATCTGAAAAATCATGTATATGTGGCATTTAATTTAATTCGCGGTTTAAATTGCATAATTTTTTTATGTAAAAAATATTTTAATTTGTATCAAATTTTGCATACTATAATTAAGTTTTTCTCGAATCATGTTTTAAATAAGTCATTCACTTTTTAAACAAATACATTTATTAAAAGAAAAAATCATTTTTCATGATCTCCGCTGTAATTCAAATTCTACGTAATAACACGTTAGAATCTCACAATTTTAATAGCTGCATGTAACTTTATTTAGTATCCATATCTATCTTTTTACGTCAAAAACTTAAACTCGTTAAATAAGATTTCAAAATATAATTTATGATTTATATTTTTTCTAACATATTTTCTTAAATAAAAACTTTTAAAATTTAAAACTTATACAACTACATCACTATTTTATATTTAATTTTGATTAAAAAAATGAGTGAATGAAATTCGAATTTATGATCGATAAACTATAATATTATGTCAAAAGACTACTTTAACTAAAAAGTATAAACTATTAGATAAAAATAAGATCACAATATATAGTATTTTTTTAGATTTTCAAGGTATACCAAATCCAAATATCTAGACTAAATTTTTGATATTTCATGGGGTGCACAAAAAGATCATGGTTGCCTAAAGAATTTTTTATATATATACAAGAACTTAAAATCGAGAACATTTGTTTGAACGACTAAAATCTCTTTAACTCAAGCCAACTATCCTAGTTCAATATATAAATTTTGTCATTTTCTGTCAAAAAATCATTTCACACAAAAGTTTAACATGTTAGGCGAGGCAT